TAACTGGAGTCTAAGGAAATATTATGAGGAAATATCAGACAAATGCAAACTGAGGGACATTCTACTCTTTAAGAATGTACTTTAGTCTTCAAAAAGGTCAAGGTCAAGAAATACAAAGAAGGGCTAAGGGATTGTTTCAGATTAAAGGAAGCTAAAGAGACATAGATAAATGCATTCAGGATCTTGGAATGGATCTGGACAAGGAGGAAAAAAGAAAGTGTACAGTATCTTTTATAAAGATATTATTGGGATAATTGTCAAACTATGACTATGTTCTTTGGATTAGGTAATAGTATTGTATAAATGTTAAACTTTCTGATTTTGTTAACTATACTGTGGTTACATAAGAGAATGTCCTTGTTTTTAGAAATGCAGTGAAATGTTTAGAGATAAAGGGGCATACTGTCTCCAATTTTCTCTCAAGTATTTCAGAAAAAATATGCATATATCTATAAATACATGTAAAGAAAAAATAATAAAGCAAATGGGGAAAAATATAAACAATTAGTGAATATGAATACAAGGTATATGGGAGTTCTTTGTATTATTCTTAAAATTTTTCTCCTGTATGTTTGAAGTTATGTCAAAAAATGGGTTCTAATTAAAATAGAAAATTAGAAAATGAAAAAGCTAATCACCTACAATCCCACCATTCCAACAAGTTTCCTATATTCATTTTTTCCATATTGCTTCTTCTTGTCCTTGTTTATGAGAACACACACAGTTGTAATCATGACATGGATAAAATTTTTACTTCTAACTTTTAACTTCTTCTATCACTTAGGCCTTTTACCTGTTGAGTTAAATTTTCAAGCTAATTTAAATAATTTTCCATTAAAAAAAACCCCAGAGCAATCTAAATATGTCTCACCCAAGGAATGGACAAACTGTGGTACATCCATACAATGGAATACCAAGTCAGCAATAAAAAAGAACAAATTACTGATCCATGCAATAACAATATGCTAAATGAAAGAAAGGCCTTTTGATTCATTCCATTCCCATGGTATTCTGGCAAGGGAAAACTATACGGGCAAAAAATAGATCAGTTGTTGCCAGGGGTTGGAGTGTATTGAAGAAGGCTGACTACAAAGATCAACAAGGAATTTTGAGGACTGATGGAACTGTTCTGTATCTTGATTATGGTGGTAGTAACATGACTGTGTATGTTTGTCAAAATTTGCAGAACTGTGCACTAAAAAGGGTGACTTCTACTGTTTGTAAAATAAACCTTAATTTAAAAATTAAAAAAACAAAGCAAAACAAAATTGGGTTTTAAAACTAAGTTTCATTTAACAGAGCACAGAATGCAAATCTATCTATCCTAAGTCTGTATCATAAAAGTTCCCCACTTACATAAAGCAAAGAGGATGTTATAATACAAAGTCAGTACTCATATTCAAAACTGGTCTAAATTAAAGTTTGATTGTAATTTAAATGCAACTGATCATAGTTCTTAAATATGACCTCTCCTCTTCATTTTAACAGTCACTATTGCAGCACTAAACATTTCTTATCCACACAACTTCAACTGCCTCCTAAGGATTCCTGGCCTCTGGTCTCTCTACTGTTCAATCAAAATAATGCCAGAATGATCTATCTAAAGGACAGTATAATCACACAATCTTTTATTAACACTCACATTCTGTAGGATAAGTTCCAAACTCCTGAGCACAGCATTTGAAGCATTTCAAAACCATGATCCAATCTACAGTTATAGCTGCATCTCCTGTCATCTCCACACTATTGACTATGCCCCCTATTGAGGCACACACCAAAATAATCTGCTTTCCACCCACACTGCACAACCACTCACCAAGCCTCCTTGTATTTTCAAATATCTGTACAGGCCTGGAATGCTCTTCCTGTACCCTTCCTGCTGGGCAATCCTGGTCATCCCAGTTCAAATTTACCTTCTTTATAATAACTTCTTCCTCTGGGCCTCTACAGCATTTTGAAAACAAAGTATGTTTACCTTCTCCACATATGCAAAGTGCCATACTTGGGAACCTAAGCATGTACCAGCTGCTCCATCAAAGTCAGTTAAATGAGAAATTAAGCAAATCAGGTCATCAATGGGCACCTTAAAATTACTTTGTTTACAACCAAACCACAACCTCATTTTAAAACTATATTTGCACCATCAGAGTTAGAATTGTCTTCCCAACTCTTGCCTCTGGAATGAGTTATATCACTAAAACTATCACTAAAATATCTTCAATATTTCAAAGCAATTTCTTATCATTAATATATCCGGATTTTTCAGGCCCGCCGAGTGGCACGTTGGTTAAGAGCTGGCTTGGGATGCCAGAGGGCCCTGGTTCGGATCCCACATATGAGGGCCTGTGACACTGCCCTCTACAGCTAAGATGCTGAACAACAGCTCAACCTGGAGCTGGGCTGCC